CACTCAGACTATGAGTTTTCTCTTACTCACAGGAGCTGAGAAATTTATTTTCAAGTTTTATTGTTTGTTTTGGCCTGAATAGYACAAATATAACCCAGGAAGCAGCAGAGACTGAAGTGAAAGGCTCCCCCGTACCATCCCTGCCTCTCTGGGGTGTGCTCCCCTCTACCTCCCTGCAGCAGCTCCAGCTTCACCCAACCCTCATCTCCAAGGAATTCAACACGGGCAAGCAAACACTGCCAGATGGAGCAGGCCTTGAAGAGAAACCAGAGTCTGCTGAGCAGAGAGAGCCCCAGCAGCTGGGAGCTCCTTGGCCACTCACCTGGGTGAGAAAATAGCCCAGATCTCTGGAAAATCATGGAGATATTTAACAAAACAGACTGAAYACAGACACTGCCAGCCTGGACTGCCTGGTGTTTTTGGAAAGYACCAGAAGCATCCCTTGATGCAGGGAACAAACACGACCCACAGGAGCTCAGTGGCAGATCCTGGCAGGGTCATTGTCACCAGAGCAGGAGGGAACACGAGAGCTGCAGGGAGAGCAGGGCAGAGCCAGGGCTCCGAGGGGAAGGGACAGCTCCTGCTCCCTGGAAGGGTCAGTGCTGAATTCCAGGGACAAAGTGCCACTGCAGCACCTCAGACACACACACACACTGCCCCCATGATGGCTGAGGCTGTAAATCTGTTTGTTTTGTACAAAATTCCTGACATTCCAGTTGCAGAGCAGCAGCTCCATGGGCTGAGCCAGCTGCTGCCCAGGCAGAGCTGTGCCCTGCCCCTCTCACCAGGGTGAACCCCTCGCCCCTGTGCCCACTCCTTGSTTTCACACCCCTGCACAGGACAAAGCTGCGTGTGGCTGCAATTTTACATCMTTTGCTTTCAGCAAGCTGATCAAATTCCACAAACCCACTGCCTTGGYGCAGTGGCAGCAGCCTGTTCATCCAATTCCAGTAAGGCTTCAAAAACCACAAACACCCCTTGTTTTTGACCACAACCGTAGGTTTAGTATGCCAGAAGTTACTGTTGAGATGTGTTATTTCCAAAAGACTATTGCAAGATCTTAGTCATAAAAGGGTTGGACAGAGTTGATAAAAGCAGCCCAGCACAGCCCCTCCGTTCCAGTTCCTCCTGGACACCGTGCAGCTCCCACCCATGGGTGTGAGGGCTCCTGTCACACCCCACAGGACCCCAGAAATGCTCTCCTCAGGCTGTGCTGGACGCAGGGGGACATGGAATTGCTTGCAAGTGAAAAGTCAGATTTAACTGTTTGAACCTCCCCCTTCTCTGCATTTCCAAATGCCCCGGTACTGGTGGGACCTCCCTGGCTGCCCCTGCTCACACCCTGCTCACACCCTGCTCAGCCCCTGCTCAGCCCCTGCTCACACCCTGCTCAGCCCCTGCTCAGCCCCTGCTCAGCCCCTGCTCAGCCCCTGCTCAGCCCCTGCTCACACCCTGCTCACACCCTGCTCAGCCCCTACTCACACCCTGCTCTGGCTGCAGGTGCTGCACAGGAGGCTGCTGTTGGCCAGCGAGAAGGGTTTGCCCATCAGCAGAGTCTCGCACTCCAGGCAGGCAAAGTGTTTCTTGTGCCAGGCCAGCCCCTCTGCCTGCTGGTAATCCTCTGAGAAGATGATCTGCAGGACAGACAGACAGACAGACAACTGCTCATTTGCACCATTTGGCCAGGCTGGGGCATGGAAGGGGCAGAATTGGCCTCACACCTCCCACCAAGTCCATCAGCCGTGGGGGCCAGGCTTTGGGAGTGGTACAGAAAATAATCACAGCATGGTTTGGGTTGGAAGGGATCTGTAAGGGATCTGTTCCTGGGCAGGGACACCTTCCACTGGACCAGGCTGCTCAGGAGCCCTGCTTGAGCCTGCACCAGGATTGTGGCACTGGTGGGAGCTCAGGGACAGGTGACCCTCACCTGGCACAGGTGGGAACCCAGGTCTCCATCAGGTACCCACCCCAGCACAGTAGGATCCTGGGGTGTTTATCAGTCCCCATCCCAGCACAGTGGGATCCCAGGTCCCATCCCATCCCTACCCCAGCACAGTGGGATCCCGGGGTGCTTATCAGTCCCCATCCCAGCACAGTGGGATCCCAGCCTGTCCCCATCCCAGCACAATGAGATCCCACAGCCCCATCCCATCCCCACACCAGCACAGTGGGATCCCATCCCATCCCCACCCTGGCACAGTGGGATCCTGTGGTCCCAGCCCATCCCTACCCCACGACAGTGGGATCCCATCCCATCCCTACCCCAGCACAGTGGGATCCTGGGGTTTCTATGAGTCCCCACCCCGGCACAGTGGGATCCCATAGCCCCATCCCATCCCCACCCCAGCACAGTGGATCCCACAGCCCCATCCCGTCCCCACCTCGTCGCAGCCGGCGCAGCGGGGCCGCACGCTCTCGCAGTAGTGCCGCCCGCACCAGGCGGCCCCGCTCTTCCAGAAGTAGATGAGGTCRACGAGGGGCTCAGAGCAGCGGCAGCACACGAAGCAGGCGGGGTGCCACTGCCGGGAGTAGCCAGCACGGTCAGCATAGACCACGGGACAGTCCCCGGG